TCAAGAGCTTAATCAGTAATTAAAACATTCACAGAGACTCACAAAGAATGTGAGATGCTCCAGCAATTCAAATTTGCAATAGGCCGCCGTTTTCATGACAGTGTGACATAACGTCTGTTATGCACAACATTGTTAGATGATGCCTTTATTTAAGGTGCAAAAGCTCCGAAAATTGTCATTGTTCCAAAAAAAAAAAAAAAGGAAAAAAATTTGGTCCCGTTTTCGTTTTCGCGAAAGATTTACGTTCTGGTAAAAGCACTTTTGACAAGAACAGAAGTTAAAAAATTATATTGAGGTGTCAATAAATCACACTAAAACAATGCCCCAGGTGTTTAAAGGCCAAAAGTGGCATTTCTGTATACATAACAATTAATGCGCCTGATTATTACAGGTGTACCCCTAAAAAAGAATTTGAATATAGCCAAGACTATATACAGAATTAAATATCTGTAGCAAAGTAAAACTAAGAGACTCTTGTGCTACAATATATGTTGATGAACTATAATGAAAATGTGTGTTATACATTTCTCCCACCAGTTAATGGAAGCCCTGAAGGAGCAGGAGGAAATCAACATACGTCTGCGACAGTACATGGACAAAATCATCTTGTCCATCCTGGACCACAACCCCTCCATCCTGGAGATCAAGGGCAACTAGCAGTGACTCAACTGGAGTGAGAGTCGTTCCCAGTCTCGGGAGAATGAGGATCATTCCAGTTGTTCGATCAGAACCTGCAACCCGAGTCAGGAATCTGTACAGGAAAGCGGAGAGAGCCAGAGCCAGGCTTAGAAACTGGAACTTAGAAATAGACACACATTGCCCCCTGCTGTTTGTGGCAGGAACAGAAAGGGAGTTTTCTCAACCAGGGATTGCTCTCTGGCAGCAGGTCATACTACTGTGACTCTTTGACTTGATCGACCCTGCTCTGTTTTTATTTGCTGTCTATGCTGTGAACTGTAGTTACTGTAACAACTTTGAGATCATATGATAAAACAGGTGATTTCTTCCCAGGAATATCCTGCGCTCAACATGCTTTGAGGATCGACGAAGTTGCTCCATGCAGTACACTGGACATTTGTACTTTGGCATAAAAACTGGAAGGATGTAACAAACGTGATGGGGGTTCTGCTGTATCCTGGTGTAATATTAGCTGTATTATCCACAGATAGACAGTTTGGTGTGATGTTTTAGGAAAATACGGTGAGACAGACGAACAATTCGGCAAGCAGACTGTAAACCCGACTCTTAGAGGCATGAAGGCAGACCAGTCGAGTGTTGCCTGATCTGTAAACTGCCCATCTTTTCTCCTCTGTAGGTGTTCTCTGAAGAATGCATTTGATGACATATTTGTACAGGCACGTTTAAAGAGAGGATAGAGAAAAGTGTCAAAAGTGGTTGGAGAAAGAAAACAATGAGAACCCCTATAACTTCAAAGGAAGCAGGAGGTTTTGAAAGAAGTGGGGCATCAGATGATGGACTGTGTATGCAAGCAAAGGAGGGTTTTAGTGAAGTCGGTAATGGTTAATTGAAGGTGAAATTGTTTAACTCCTGAGAACATGTCTTCCAGTAACCTTGCAACAGCACTTGCAGTGTCAATCAGTCCACTGAGAAGTGGCCCTTAGTTGGTTCAGGCGAGTGTCACTTTATGGAGCAGAAGCTGCAACCAAGGAGTGTCTTTAAACTGTAACTTCCATGGCTGCTATTTGCTAGCAATGCGTTGGCTTGAGAAGGTACACTGTTGCTAGCAATAGACCCAATGATGTTGCACAGAAATGTAAGGATATGAATGTACAGGGTGTATGGTGGATTCATGTTGGAGTGACTGGTAGCCATTGTAACATGGTTTACTGAATCATCTCTTTATGCTCAGTGAAATCAACTCAGATATTGTACGTGAGCATGCACTGGAAACTCACTTTTTGGTACAAAACAACTGGATTAGCAATCTCATTGAAGCCTACAGATTGTTTTTAAAGCCCTCTGAAACTCTCTAATACTGTAAATATAATGAATGTACAACTGGATATTTCACATTCTGTGAGGCCAAAAAGGCTTTTTGACTTTAAATCTCAGTAATTGGTTTTGACACGTGGTAACACACACGTACAGTATTCAGTGCTGTAATGAAGAGGGCATTGTTTAGGGGAAAGAAAACAATTACAATCTGCTGTATTATGTAATTCTTCTAAACTTGAGTTTTGCTTCCTTGCACAAAAAAAAAAACTTTTCTTTTGCATGGTTCACCTTTTCTTCTGTGTGTGCCTTTTGAGGACATTTTTCAAGACGATGTTGCTATAGATTTACATAGTTTTTTGAAGGTACATTCTATGTCCACGTCTGACATATTTTCTTGACTTGTAAATGTTGTAATTAAATAGTGATGATTTGTATTCATGTGCCACTCACCACTCTTTTTCAGATTAATACTATGAAAACTATTTTATACAGTTTTATCAAGAAAGAACTTGCTTAGGTGTCCTGTTAGAAAAGCAGTAGGCTATAGCACAACGCTTTGTATGGTATGCAGGCCAGGTTAGCATTTTGGGAATATTTTGTCAATGTAATAATTTTTATGCATTTGGGGATGCTTTCTTTCATTTCTCAATTTATTTTGTTAGTCATGGTAAGTCCATTGCTTTTCAACCTGCTTCAAAATGGCTTTTTATATGGTTGTAAACTGTCTTCCTAACTTAAACTAAATGGTGAGCATTAAGAGCAATATTAACTTATTTACCAATACCTGCTGATTTGTGTCTTGTTTTGCTTCACAAATCGTTTCACTCTTTAGCTGCTCATGCCATTCTAGATTAAAGAATGAATAAATAAACAGTACATTAAACTGTAAAATTTGTCACAAATCCATTTCTTGTAGCTCCTATATTTTGAGTCATTAGGGCTTTCCAATGTGATGTAGTCACCATGAACAGCAATTAAAAATGGCTTTGGCAGTGATGCTGTCGTGTGAAATGTATCATTTTGAATTAAGTTACAAATTACAGGTAAAAAAACTCCTCCTGAATATCTGGATTTTGAGTTAGAGAAAAAATCTGAGCACACTATAGCAGGTGCTGGGTTCGTGGCCTGTGAGAACAGTGCTGGAGAAACACTGATTTGTAATGTGAAACTGCTTTGTTCAGTTTTTAGCAGTTTTAATCACCTTCTTTGTTTTGGAAAAAAAGAAACTTCTGCAGATAATTTGGCTCCCAGTGAAAACCACCTGAGCAATTAACACTGAAGGGATTCTAATCTTGAAGTTTCAGTTGCTTGCATCTGCATTCCTCAACACTAGACGCCACTAAATCCCTTAAATCTTACACACTGAACCTTTAATGGAAAGCTGGTTGCATTTGAAGCAATCATTTGAACACCTTTCAGAAGTTGGCCCACACAGCTGGAGTTGAAAAACATGTTGGGAGGGATAGATCTATTTTGGCATGAAGCGTATAGTATTTGTCTAAAAATGTGTGAACAGAAGAACAAGGTATGTACCCTAATATTGCAAGTGTGATTGTTGAACATCTCATCACACTGTTAAAATGCTGCTGTAACAGCCTACACTGTTGTGGGAGGGCCTCCAGTAGCTTTCCAGTTCACCGTGCAGGCCAGTCAAGTTCTTCTTCTGCACCAAACTCCAAAAACCATTTCATCAGGGACGTTGCTTTGTGCTTGAGGGGGCAAAGTCATGCTGAGTCAGGAGGCAGCCTTCCTGAACTGCAGCCTTAAACTTGGAAGCACCACTGACGCACCACTGTATGAGATAGCATTAAGACTTCCTTTAATTTAAATAGGGAGCTTGCCAAAACTAAAAGCCCCAAAGTACATACTGTAAATGCATGTGGACAGTGGTAGGAGTGTATCTATCATAATACAAATGCAAATGTTTCCTTGTGGTAGTACAGCGGACATTTTTTGTAGATTATATGAGCCAATTCTGCTCAGTCTGAAATGTTTACTTTGTCTTAATATTAGGCACACACACCTTTTTGTTTCATTTTACACTCATACATTGAAAGGTGGTGCACATTCTGTGTGTGCTGCGCTGATGGTGAGTTGCTGCCGAAGACTATACTACAATATAGGCATTTATCAATTTAAATTACGTCACTGTCAGATTCTGGTTCAGGTACGGAGCAGGAAGAACAATGAATTCAGCAACTATTTCCCATGGGACATGAACAAAACATCAGCCGTCTCTATCCTAACAGGTAGAAATGCTCTAACACACAACAAAACATATAAGCTATAAATCAAAATCAAAACTATCCATGTAAAATAACCAAATTTAAAAAGAATCAGTATTTTGGGCTAAAATAAACATTTACTGTTACTACTGAGTTTTGTAGATTTGTCCATTTTCCATTGTTAAAATGCAATGTTACAAATTCCTGCAGGGATTGTAATGCAGGAAGCTGCGGCAGACAAAATAACACACACATATACGTATATTCATGTGGTGGATATGTAGTCTCTAGTCTGATTGTAATACTAGTACGAATTTGCTCATCTTGAGATGCATTCAGGGTCCCTCCTTTTCTTACGTACCCTGTTTGATTTGTGTGAAAGATGGACATGAAAGATGGAGTGTGTCTACACTGCAGGGGCAAGAGTTTGTCTGTCCTTATCTTGGAGATTTCTCACACACACAGGCTTCACCTGTCCTGATCTATCTGACAGCAGCACAATATTTTGCTATATTGCCATATTTATTTTAAATATTTCAAGGAATGTAAAGTGTCTACATTTACCAGCTGCATTTGAACACCTCAGCCGTGGTCGCTCCTGTTTCGATAAACGTCATGGCCTTCCTATCGGGATGTGGTGGCATTAAAAGAATAACTTCCCAACTTTTCAGCTGTATAAAACGGTGCCACAGGCTCATGGCAGGGGATACCTGAACCCGGCGGCATGTTTTCTTAAAAACATTTTAAATTGGACATACGAATTAAAAAAAAAAAAACACGCCATGGATATGACATGGTTTTCTGGCGCCACCTATCGTCGTATCGTGTGCTACACCTGGGGGGTGGAAGTTACCTCATTCTTCCTCAGGCTACAGTACGGGTAAGTAGTAATTTAGAGTCAATTTATGGAGTTAATTTCTCATTAAAGGCGTTACTGGGAATCCCTTAGCTGTATTTTGTTAACTTCTCCCCATGGTGAGCACATAAACTGTCAACAGCCGACATGGCAGTAAATGTCATCATAACGCTAATGAGGAGTGTTAGCCTGCTGCACGTAGTTAGCATGCAGCTGGCACAGAGCCAAACAAGCTAAGCTAACTTAAAGTGGCTTTTATCAAGGTAACGTTACTGTCAAAAATGTAGCTGTTATTGTGACAAACACAATGTCAACTCATGAAGCGTGTAAAACGATAGTGAAAAAAAAAAAACATTTTGGATCTGACCGAGTGTATTTAATTGATTTCAAATGGATCGTGACTAACTTAACATTGTATCAAACAGTAACAGTAAAGTGCGCCAAGGCAAAGCCAGAATGTTGAGAAGCAACAATAGTGTTAAAATCAACAAAAGATGAAATAAACAATATTATAAAGCTAAAATAGAGCTGCTAATTTACACCACAAGAAGCCAGATAGAGGTGTAACACAAGTGCACCATATAGATATGATAATAGTCTCTATGTGGAATTTAGAGTGGATGAGTTGTTTCAACATGACTTTCAACATGGAGGTAGCTAAACCAGTGGCTAGCAGCTAACAATGCCAAGTCCATAAACACCGCTAAACAAGGGCAACGCTGAGCACGTTTACATGCGCACAATAATCAGATATCTGGGAATAATCAGGTAATGGTAATAATCCAATTTGACGCGTTTACATGCACTTCAATAATCTGATAATCAGAAAAACCTGGTTTACATGATTCAGTCCTTCAGTTGGATTTCTCCCCAAGTACATGACATAAAACTCAAACTTCCTGTTACAGTAGGTACTCATATCCTTGAAAAACCATAATACCAAGTCATATATTTGCAAAATAAAGCACTCATCATGCTGACAGCTTATATTCTTACAGTACTGTTTGTTTTTATCATTAACAAATACATGTGAGAGCATTCTAATGTGTAGTTTATCAATGTGGAGCCAATTTTACATACTTTGGGTAGATTCGGTACTGCAAAGTGCAATATACAAGTGTGTTGTATATAAACTTGTCACACAAAGTGCATAACATATAAGTAAGATAAAATAAAAGTGACAATTTAAACACTGAGAATATAAAAATATATTATTTTACATAAAATCTTTATCTGAAAGGAAACAAAAGCTGTCAGGTTAACGTAGTGGAGTAGAAAGTACAATATTTTCCTCTAAAATGTAGTGGAGTGGGAGTATAAAATAGCAAAACCCGAAAGAAACCAGATTAAAGGGTATACATGCACCGAATAATCTGACTATTGGGGACAAAGCTAGGTGTGTTTATCTGATTTCTCATAATCAGATAATGGCTTTTATCTGATAAAGCCTATCGGAATATGCTGTTTACATGACCACTTGAATAATCAGGTAACTCCAGAAATCAGATAATGATCAGTTTATTAGTGTGCATGTAAATGCGCTCAGTGTTGGCAGAGCTAACAGTGTTATCCACAGAGTTTAAAATATTCCAGGCTGAAAATTACTTGTACTGGTTTTATTACTATTTGGATTTGATTATTTTATTGTTTTCGATCAGTACAACCAAGATGTACAAGTACAACTGGGGGCCTATGTCAGGGGACCAGAGTCATTTAGGCCAGTCAATCTGTGGTTTGACCCAGGGGAAATTACAATAGAAATCATTCATGGCATTTTGTGATCTCTTGGGACATCCAAATATCATATTAAAAGTATAGCATTACATATTCAGTGGATCAAGGTAAATGCATGTCACAGCATCAGACAAAGAAGTACATGTGTCTGCTTCAGAACATAATATTTTCATATCAGATAGCCTATGTTTAAATATTAGTTTTTTAGGATGTTCTTTCCCATATAACCATCAGATACGACCTGTTCTGACTGTATATGTGCATTTTAGTGGCTACCCGTACCCCAAAATGATCTTTTTTTTAATCCAAACAAAGTCAGTGAAATTAGGTCATAAAGCATATAATCATTCGGTTTTCAGCACATGCAAAGTTGTTTGTCCATGACAACCATGGTGCATATCAGCACTCAGACTGAGACCATAAATGAGAATGGCTTAGTCATTCTTTTGTTGTTGGTGCCATTGAAGGTTGATATCTTTGACTAAGCTTTATTATGTTGAAATATGGTCCAGAGATAAAGAGTTTTTCATGATACCAAACTAGAATTTGCCACCTTGAGTAGTACCACTTCGTGAAAATTCTGACCTGGGCCCATAGACTGGACCCATAAACACAATCACCACCGATTTCCCATAATGTTTTCGACCGTAACGAATAGAAGTTTCCACGATTGTCCCGTATGTGTTTCCTATCCCATCCCATCTAAGACGTACAGGATGTCTTTTTCTGGTACATCATCATGAGGCACAGTATTTCATATTGCGTTGAATTAAAAAAATAAGACGTTGACATTAAGAGTAAAGATGCTGATAGAATAGAATAGAATAGAGTAGAAAACTTGCTGATAGAACCAGACAGCTCACACACACTCAAAATTACAGCAAATGATGCCGTTATAGATACTAAATATACAGAATATTTACACCCAGAATAGATGTGGATACACCAATAGGAGCAGTGTGGTACAAACTGTATGTGGAGAATTTGGCAATAAAAAAATTGATTGTCGTGTAGTAGTACCCGAAATACAGGTACAATACATCAGAATATCCTTTTAAAAAGTGTTTTATTGAAAAGATTGACCTCAAAAACTTAACAATAGACATCAGATATGTTGAATATGTGTACATAGAACCTCTGATATTAACATAATTTCACCCAGACCATGTAACTAAAAAATGTTGAAACTTTCCTTTTGACCATTAGAACCATTAAAGGCTATTTAACATTACTATTGCAGCTTCTCCTAGGTTGGGCCTATTTTTGGGTTAGATTGACCGGACTTATTGGAATTCATCTGAGACCATGAATGAACCTAATTTTATCACCATACACCCAATAGTTACAAATATAATATTTTCATTAATATAAAAAATATAGAAGTCTAAAGAAGTCCATTTAGTTAGATTTTAGATTATTAAAGAGGGGTTGTGTGTAGGGCTGCCATGATTAGTCGACTTATCGATGACTAATCGACTATTAAAATAATTGGTGACTATTTTAGAAGTCGACTAATCGCTAATAGCCCTATAAAAATTGTTTAAATTTAAGCGGCTGTCAAATAACAAAGACTGCAGTTATTTTTATGTTATGTAATCTTTATTCACACTGTATTTATTAATTAAAACAACATATGTCATGTATTGTAGCTTAATTCCTACACAAAAATGACAGTGTCAGGGCTTAAAGTGAAAATTTTGTCAATTGTTCTCCGTCTATAATTTTGCGCCCTACTTGAGCCATGCCCACCTCTATTTATTTTTCACCCCTCTCTCCAGTTCTGCTGTATTAACATCGGGTTTAATATATTTTGCTTCCATCTCTCTGTCCTGCTCTACTCTACTTCAACACTACTTAGCTCTCTCTCTACTCTACCAGTAGACTACCACATCCACCTGTTGCACAAAACGCACATAGCAGTGTTTCCCCTAGGATGGAGTTGTAGCAGCGGAGGTGAAGCACACGCATAAAAAATAATTTTCACATGCGTGAAACTTTTTTGTATGCTTGCAAAGCACAGCCTGCTGGGATGTTTCTATGTATCTACTGGCACCAGAAGGGCTCTTTAGGACTAAATACATACAGTACATGTGTGCACAGTAATAAGCAGGTGAAATGTCTGTCTAGCTTCCATATGAGGTGTCTCAAGATTTAGGAACATACAATTTTATTGAATATAATAAAGTAAAAAGTCACTTGACATGCTGCTTTTTTGTGCTATGACCTATTAAAGTGTTGGAAGTTGTTATTTATGTGACAACGCCTGAACGCAACACAAGCTCAGCATGAGTGCCGTGCTGAGCTGCTGTGCGAGCAGCGTGTTTGTCTGTGCGTAACAGCAGTCTGTTGGTTATTTACACACCGTCCATTTCAATAACTTTGTCAGCTGACAAACTGCACCGGGCTCGGGGTCAGGTTTGGTCAGGAAAATGCGGCCCCAGCCGCTCTAGCGTGCTCACCTGTGTGTGGCAGAACTCCGCCGTTCGCGATACAGAGAGCAGAGGAGAATTGTTAACGCGTGACCATGTAGAGACAGAAATGACACGATGACATAACACCATAAATAGTATATTGTTATGTTATTATATGAAGCGTCCGTCGCGCAAAATAATATCAATGGGGGCTGTGGGCAGGACATTGTTACACAGCTGTGCCTGTGACTTCAGGCAGAGATCAGAGCAGAAGAGCACGTTTTAAAATACATTTATTTTATCAATTAGTTATTAACTTTTACTATTTTTAGCAACTTCCCCGATCAGGCAAGTGAGTTGTTAGTTTACATGCCTGACCGTGAGTTTTACTTGCCCCGGGCAATCAGGCAATCCTTACTGTTGAGCCCTGGTCGACAATGAAAATAATCAGCCCTAGTTGTGTGTAACTGTTTCTGTTTTGTTTTGCCTCTTTCACTTTTTCACTCACATCAAACCCTCCGTCTATACATTTCAGGTGCAGTGATGCCTCAGAATGGTATGAACTACGTGGGCAGAAGAGGAGGAACGCGTCACAACACCTGGAAAGCCAGCAGTCAGGTCCCAAGCACAGGTTGGGTTAATGGAGCCATTGTTCACAATGGCTACCCGGCTGCTGCTACAGGAACCAGTGAGACGACACCAGCTGGCACACTGAATGGTACCAAACCACAGTGCATGGTTAATGGTTATATTAACCATGGGTACAAGGGCAAGAGTACAAGAGCTGCACCCCCAAGAACCCCCAGGAAACAAGGAAGTATGATTTCAGTTGTCACTGATGCCTCAGCAGCTGGCAGGGGTCGCAGTGCGAGAACTCCAGGTGGTATCTCAGTGGAAGGGCCCACCAGTCTAGACACTGTTGCTTCGCCATGTAATTCTGACCGAACTGCACCACGACCCAGCGGGTCAACAGCATCAAGGAACCCAAGAAGAAGAGAGAAATTTAGAAGGAAGAAGAGGTACGTCACCTTCCCTACAGATGCTATGAATGCATCAGTAAAAAAATATTTATTCATAGTTACTCACACCTCTCTCAATCCACTCTCCCCCGGAATAACTTGTGTGTGAGCTGTTACAAGGCTGGTGTAGACAGTTGCCTTGGTTGAAATGGAAATGTATCCTGTCTTTCAGACAGGCAACTAAAAATGTGACTGATACGGTGTGATTTCTACTGTCTTAATAGCTGTGCAAGATAAGTAAGTACAATGTCAAAGGAATTGTTTGCAAATACATTTATATCCTTTGTTGCTGAGAGTTAGATCAGAGTATTGATACTGCTCTCATCTATCTAACAAAAGGCTACAGCCAGGAGACTCTAAACAGGGCAAACAGCAAGGAATAATCATACACATAACCCCTGTTAAACCGACAATTGTTCATACACTTTGTGTTTTCATGAATAAAGCAAAAAAGATGTAGGGTGTTAATTAGTGAGCGTAGAGGTGCTGGCAGCCCCTTTGGACAGAGGCGGGTTAGCTCTCCTCCCTGTATCCATTCTTTATGCTAAGACAAGATAATTTGCTTCTGGTTGTAGCCTTATATTTAATAAAAACATGCATGAGAGAGATATCAACCCTTTGATCCAACTCACAGCAAGGAAGCAAATAAATTTATTTCCCGATATCTGACTCCTACTTTCTGAATAAATATGAATTGACAAGGAGCAATATCAGATTATCAAACATAATGTATGGAAAGATTTGCTGATTTCTGTATGTAAATAAGAAATTTGCCTTTTGTAGAGACAGTGAAGTCCTCTGGCCGGAGGTGCCACTACCGATGCCACAACAAGAGGCAGAGGACTGGGAAAAAGAGACCCAAGAGATCACACTGACTGACTGGGAAGAGAACTGTTTTGATGTCACACCCTACGGTAAAGAAGAGACACCTAAATATTACTATTTCTCCTCCCAAAGCACTTTATTGATGATATATGCTGATAAGTTAATATGAATTAACGTTCACCTACTTAGCAGTACAGACAGTTTTGGAACGCAATGAAGTGCTGTACTTAGGTACTGCACAATTTAGAGGTACTTGTATTTCAGAAGGGAATATTGTACTCTTTACTCAACTATATTTATTGGACAGTTTTAGTTGCCAGTTGCTATGCAAATTAATACAAATTATAAATCAACTCAATAATGATGTTATGTTATAGGTTAAGCTAGCCAGCAGTATATAAAGTAAATAAAATGAGCTCCACCTGTACAAGCCCCAACATTTAAGTGGGGCTGGACGATACGGCAAAAAATATGTCGCAGTAATTTTTTCCATGATGATTGATATCGATATTTATTATGATATAAAGTTTAGTAACGCTGCCAGTTTGAAGACTATCTTGATATTGACTGAAGCTTGAAGGAATCCAAGGGTTCATCAAAAAAAAAAACGCATGTGGATTAAGAGGAGGCAAGAAGTTAGTGTGGACACAGTGGCCAAAGACACTATATTTGTGCAAGCTGTGCAAGTTTGTGTTCTGCTTGTTGAACATGTTTGAAAAATTGATCATACTGTCTGTTCCTTTTGTTGTATTTATGTATAATGAGCATTGTTGTCAGTTCCCACAGTAAAACATATCCTAAAGTCAGTTTCATTCCCTTCTGTGGGCTCTGCACTGAGGTTATGTTGCTGTCCACTCTGTGTGGAGCACAGGTCTGTCCTGCAAACAGGCAGCAACAGAGCACGGGCAGCAAAAATATGTAGCAGACTGACTTGCTGTTGTCATGTTTATTTCTGTCATGTGAGAGGCTGCTAGATTAACTCATATTAAGTGAAAATGTCCAAAAATGATCACCGTTGTCGACACAGATTTAATCACAATCCCCTATTGCGATCGGTTAATCGCCCAGTTCCACATATTAATGCATCAATAATTATAGTCTGATAACATCATATATACAATTCAGAAATGGACCATTCTACATAATGAATACTTTTACTTTTGCTATTTTAAGTATGTTTTGATGCTAATACTTCTGTACTTGTACTTAAACAAGATTTAATGCAAGACTTGTATTTCTAACAGTGTATTTTTACACTGTGATGTTGCTGCTTTTAATTTAAGGCATACTATGCAGGATTTTTCACGTACTATTAACACAACATTCATACTTGGCCCACCCTCTTCAGCTTAATGAGACTATGAGATAGTCTAAGAACAAAGCAGTGAATCAAATAAGTAAAAAAAATATTTTCTGATTATTTCATGGCAGTTACGTTCTAAAGCACAAATAAACACGCCCTCACCTCAGCACAACCCTGCGGGAAGTTGCTGTATGGCCAGATTTTGTGTGAATTCAGCTGAGGCACATGTTTCATCATGTCAGCTTGGCTTCTCTGCTCTATGTGTGTATGTGTGTGTGCATGCATGTGGCTCAACCTCGATCTTGATCAAACAGACAGACAGACCCGCAGCTCGCATCCAATGAGCAGAAGAAAAGGACGGAGACAGCGGTGTAACCTGGTCACTGCATTTTTATAGAGTCCTGACCTTGCACTGCTATTGACTCGGGGCTACACACCATTACCCAAAGGTGGACACTCAGACACGTAGTGGACAAACCAAAATTAGAAGAAAACACAGGCAGAGGGCAGCTTCTCTGCAGATACAGACACTGCAACACATAGCGAGTAGATAATCCTGCATAGTATGCCTTTAAATCAATGATCTGAATCCTCCTTGTACCATACTGGTGGATTACAAAATCTGCCAGCCACTCAATAGATTACTATTGTGTTTTTTGGCTTGTGAGCAAAGCAAAACTAGCAGCGACTTGCATTATATAGCAGCCTTTAGCTGGTAGCTGGTGCTCATTTCCAACCCTGATCGTTAGCACTGCCATCAGATGAAAAAAATAAAAACGTATTCAGCAAATGTCACCTTTTTCAAGGTTTATCTCACAACAAACTCTTATAAGGATCCAGGTCAAAAGTTTTACCGGTATCCTGTGTCTCCTTCAGGTCCACAAGATGCGATCCCTTGTTCTTTGAGGGACTTGACACTCAAGCAAATGGACACAGTTGGCCTGCCAGTGACAGCCAGTTACACACCAGCCGTACATCACCCACTCCCCATCACGTGGTCCCCCTACAGCATTCCCACTGAGCCTGACCAGTTTGCAGACGCTGACGAGTAAGCCAGACATGTGCTGTTGCATTAGAGGATTAGTAGAAATCAATGTTCACATAGAAAAAAGAAACTGAAGAGTTCTGCAGTGAATCTAGTTAGCCCTTCTTGACATTGTTCAGATTTGGGGATCCTGGAAAGTACCCATGCTTAGAATATTTGTTTAGTCTGCATCTGTGTTATTTACCTCATCTAATACATTAGTGGAAGGAATTAAATTTAAAACGTACTCTAGGTTAGCGTTAATGCAAAGCTTTAAAATCAAATAGGTTAATGCTGTCATAGGCCAAAGATTGTATGGTGGAGCCTAGGTTGCAATGAGGTTGTTTTTTTATTGTAGGTTTTATTTTATATTTTATATTCAGATTTTATATTGTAACATATTAGTTTGTTAGGTTTTTGTGATCTTAAGAAATGATTTTAGATAAACTACCATACTTTGCAGTTGTACCACTTCAGTTAGTGTTGTCTCTGAAAACGGTCATGCATGTACTGTTCTTCTATTTCATACCTTCATAATTTTGCTAGTATTCCAAGAACTGAACTGAAATAATAGTTTTTATGTACAGTTTTTTGTGTTTTAAAACGCCGGGTATGGGAACACTTGTCGTAATAAGTTGCTCTTTTGATCTATCAATTCTGTTGTCCATAAATTGGACGTTCACAACAAGTACACGAAGCAGCAATTTTAATTTGGGGACGGTAAACGTCAGCAAGAAATTATGGTTTGATTATGTAACAGCAACAAATCGTTATCCGCCCTTTCAGACTTTCATTTTCATTATCACAACCACAATAAATTAAATTTTCCTTTACCTCGTTGTGGTCAAACCTTGCATGTTTATCTCCGTGAGTCACCACTGCAGTCGAGTGTGGCAGGGCTGTCCAGACAGAGGTGGTCGTCCTCTGTTTAGAGAGATCTAAAAAGAGGACGACCAGTTCTTCCATTTTACTTAATGAATCAAAAGATATTGTCATGTTGCCCAGTATGTATATATCCCACTAGTCTCATGTTATGGAGATTTTAGCAGTAATGACAACTTTTGGCCACTAGATGGTAGAGTTGGTGTCAGATTTAGCCTCCTCACAGTTCCTCCATGCACCTTTGGGAGTTCAATGGGTTCATTCCCAAGGACTTGGGATACATAAGCACTTACTTGCACACTGTTCAAACCCCCTTTCCCCCCTGTTGTTTTACTCAAAATGCAACTAAAGACAGAGTTGCAGGCAACTGATACTAAGCTGATTAATGTCATCTAATAGTGCTAAATCATTCATGTCCACAGACACCGTGTCAATAATAGATTGAGGTCTTAATCTCTGGTGAGATTCTCAGTTGTGTGCTCTGATGAGACTTTGTAGTTGAATTCTGAGTAGAGCTCTTTTTTCCCAAAGTATACAACATCAGATCATTTCCTATCAAAGAGATGAGGTAGATTTTGATGTTCCCTAGCCATCTGTGTGAATTTCATTGTTGATGTAAAGGGCAAAATGTGACTGGGGGAGTGCTGATGGTGATGATAGGGGAGGATGATGTTGTACTTTTTTGGTGTTTGCAGACACTTAAGGTGGGGACTGAATGGCTACTGAGCAATTTGTGTTTAAGTCATGTTGAAGTGTTCATCTGAGTTGCAGACAGGTAATAATGAAGTGAAATAAGACAAACATGACATGCCAAAATTAAGGCTACATCCACACTAATATGTTTTTGTTTATAATACATAACTATTGCTATATTCACACCTAGCGTCCACACTAGTCCGGCGTTTTGGAACCCCTTAAACAGAGACCTTTGAAAATACTGCTAACCCCGTTTTCGTCTGAAAACTGGGGCTTGCGTTTAGTCTGGATTGGCAGAAACAGAAATTTTTGGACACAATGATGCAATCACTCACATTCACTTCCCAGTTAGGTATTATCAGTCACAGCTTTGTCAAGTCAAAACAATATAGCTAGGCCTGGTGTGGGCACTCATTTCCCATCGCTATGGGTTCCTCCAGCGATGGATAATGCTTGCGGCCCATGCAGCTCTGATATGTAGCTGGATTTGTTTGTAATGATTCACAACCTGTTTTCTGGCTGCCTTGACAGCCTTATACTCACGTGTTACTCTCAGTAACAGTCCCACCTTGTCGTCGGTCCAAGCAAAGAAATCTCTGGTCTTACTTTTCGCCATCTCCTTAGTATTGTCTGTAACTAAGCAATCAACCCCTGAGTAGACTATCTGCTTCCTGTTTACACCAGCACACATGCCCTTTTCAAGTGTGGACATGTGACAGTGTGGATGTGGCCTAAGGGTGTCAAGAGTGAACCCTGCCTCTCAATCAGTGCATGTAGGAATAGCCCCTCCACCCCTGAACAGGAGAAGTAGTTTAGAAAATAGACAGATGGATGATTGTCAGAATGTGAGTTTTAATCTGTTTGTCTGTTTGAAGCGTCAGTTTCCAGGAAGCTGACCCACACTAAATGTCATTGTTAATTTACCCGACCGCTGATCATTCTTTGCGAACTTGGCTCGCCCTACTGCGAAAATCCGCTCCGAGGCAGAATTCACATATGCTATTTGTTTGATCTTAGACAGTTTAATAAATATTTGTGTGCATGCAGAACTCTCTCTCAAACCCAGAAACCAGAAAACCCAGAATTGAATTTGTCATGTTGTCATGTGATTAGGTCTTGTTGCTGCTTCTTTGAAAGGAAGTGTTGTTTTTCTCAACTCTGCTGAACCTATTTTGTGAAAACTAAATGCTTTTCACTGAGAATTTCCTCATTTATAGTCCCCCCTCAACACTGGGAATCTGTACACAAAACCCATCTGTTATTAATTGTCATTGGAGCAGCGCACATACCCTCACATTTAGCTTTGTGAGAGGCTGCTTCACATTCACAAATCCTGACTAAACCAGCATCTTTTTTTTAAAGTGTTTTCTTTAGGGTGGATTTCCCCTTGAAAACTGCAGTAGCTGTATTAGTCTTGCTTTATAATTTTGTGGGGGTGGTATCAGGGTTAAAATGTTAGGAAATAGCGTGTTTCATACATGTTGTAATCCTAGTGAGTGATTAATGCTCCTATATGTCTCAGTGGAGCCTTTCTCCACATCCTGCATTTGGACAAATAAGCAGACTGCTTGCCTGCCTACGTCCACACTGCAGTTATGGTGTTGGTCAAGATCAGCTTATTGCTTGTAGTTCATGTTTTAACTGAAGCTGAGTACATTATTAGAGTGTTGGTAGTACACTGACCACCCACATTATTTTATTGCATTGATAGCCAGACAGACTTTGATGATAATACAAGTTACATTTCCCAGTGCTGAGATGACTTTGGGAAATTAGGTCCAGGCCTTTATAGCGCCGCATTTCTTCGGTGTGAATCATCCCCAGTTATTTCATCTGGTTCCAGTGTGACCAGTCATTTAGCATTCAGCGTCTCGATTGATCTGGCAACATAATGGTTTGTTAGCCTGGCACAGGAAGAAACCCAGGAGGAGACAGGAAGGAGGACTGTGGTCAGTTTAACCTCCTGCAGCTAACCAAAGCAAACACATTGCGGTATAGTGGATAGACATTTTGTCAGAAAAATCGTTATTCTAAACCAACTGTCCTAATGGTAAATCCTTCCTGTGCTTCCACGTGGACGCTGCTGCCAAACGCTCGACCTAGTTGTAACTACACATGTAATTTCAGGTCAACTATGCATTTCTTAACATAAACAAGTGCCACTTTAAGACCCATACCAACAATTAATTGATACGATCCTACTTATAAGTATTGTCTGTTGTCCAAAAACAATTAAAAACACATCAGTAAGAGAGAACCGGATATGTATTTTTGATTAATCCATCACTTGAAGTAGTCCCCCACAAATTCACTATTATCTCCTTTTAATTGCTACAAACTACAGTGCCCAGCTGTTTAAGGTAGTTACTAGGCCTTTAAAAAAAAAGAAAAAGAAAATGAATCTATATAGTTGTGACCTTTGCCACAGACAGGGTCGAGGAGTCAGAAAGTATCGAGATGTAGTAACACATTGTTGGCTTTGGCCTTGTCATGGGGTTTGGGAAATATATACAAGATATGACTTTCTGTGATTCAAACAATTCAAACAAGTTAGCAAATTCGAGTGTGGGTATTGTAAAATATTTAGGTTTAGGTTAAGCAGCCTTAAGGGTTTGGAGCCCCAAAACATATTTGAGCCTTACAATGAAGGTAACACAGCCTCTTAGCCTCAGCCTCAACTTGACTATAATGTCTAAATGAGCACTTATGAAATTGTTTGACCACAAAGTGACTTCTCTGCAGTGGGCCACATATGTTTATTTGCCACTTTAACTTTGTATCATTGGCGGTGAAAGCAAACAGAGCTGTCCATGCACTATTAAATTCTCTATTCACCTTGAGACCTTTCCGTTTTGGATTTGGAATCCATAGCTAGCCTTGCTAGGCTGAGTCAAGATTGGCCACTGCTCTTGAGGTTCGGCAATATTTAGAGGAAAAGGTGCCACTAGGCCATAAATTATAAAACATTTTTTATATCAGTTTGTAGTCTACACATTTCTACAAATAGGAATTTAAAAATTAATTAAGGCCTACGACAATCATAAATAAAAAATCAAATGTTAAAAAAGCAGTAGTATTCATTTCCATGTAATGTTTTTCATCAAAAGCCACAAGGAGCCACTGAAAGGGGCTAAAGAACCTCTCTGCAGGTTGCCTGGTTTAACATGTCTTAGAAACTAAAAATCAGAACCAAAATACTGTAATGATGGTGTTTTATATTAATATGCCTCAGTCCTCCTAATTCAAAGTGCTTTATTGATAGAGGGTGCAATTAGGTTGCCATAGTTAGAATGACCATCAAAAAAAACCCTCTGTTCCTTCACATTCTTCCATACAAACAGCCAGTACAATATGCTGTATCAATAGGATCCTGTTCCCCTTCCTCCTCCTTTAAATGACCTCCTGCAGTGCATGATAAATTGCACATCCAGTTCAGACAGGCCCTT